CTTGAGATGCCTCTCCTGAATACAGCACAACAGTGGGTCTTGACTCTATCCAATTTGCCAGTCTGTGTCTTTTGATTGGGGCATTTAGCCCATTTACATTTAAGGTTAATATTCTTATGTGTGAATTTGATCCTGCCATTTTGATACTAGCTGGTTGTTCTGCCTGTTAGTTGATGTAGTTTCTTCACTGTGTCAATGGTCTTTACCATTTGGTATGTTTTTGCAGTGGCTGATACTGGTTGTTCCTTTACACATTTAGTGCTTCCTTCAGGAGCCCTTGTAAGGCAGGCATGGTGGTGACAAAGTCTCTCAGCAACTGCTTGTCTGTAAGGATTTTATTTCTCCTTCACAAAGGAAGCTTAGTTTGGCTGGATATGAAATTCTAGGTTGAAAGTTCTTTTATTTAAGGATGTTGAACATTGGCCCACACTCTATTCTGGCTTGTAGGGTTTCTGCCACGACATCTGCTGTGAGTCTGATGGGCTTCCCTTTGTGGGTAACTCGACCTTTCTCTCTGGCTGCCCTTAGCATTTTTTCCTTCATTTCAACCCTGGTAAATCTGATGATTATGTGCCTTGGGGTTGCTCTTCTTGAGGAGTATCTCTCTGTATTTCCTGGATTTGAATGTTGGCCTGCCCTGCTAGGTTGGGGAAGTTCTCCTGGATAATATCCTGAAGAGTGCTTTCCAACTTGGTTTCATTCTCCCCGTCACATTTAGGTACACCAATAAAACATAGATTAGGTCTTTTCACATAACCCCATATTTCTTGGAGGCTTTGTTCACTTCTTTTCACTCTTTTTTCTCTAATCTTGCCTTCTCATTTTATTTCACTGAGTTGATCTTCAATCTCTAATATCCTTTCTTCTACTTGGTCGACCCGGCTATTGAAACTTGTGTATGCTTCAAGAAGTTTTTGTGCCGTGGTTTTCAGCTCCATCAAGTCATTTATGTTCTTCTCAAAGCTGGTTATTCTAGTTAGCATTTTGTCTAACCTTTTTTCAAAGTTCTTAGTTTCTTTGCATAGGGTTAGAACACACTCCTCTAGCTCAGAGAAGTTTGTTATTACCCACCTTCTGAAGCCTGCTTCTGTCAATTTGTCAAACTCATTCTCCATCTAGTTTTGTTCCCTTGCTGGTGAGGAGTTGTGATCCCTTGGAGGAGAAATTGCATTCTGGTTTTTGGTGACTTCAGCCTTTTTGCGCTGCTTTCTTCCCATCTTCCTGGATTTATCTACCTTTGGTCTGGTGACTTTCAGATGGGGTCTCTGAGTGGACATCCTTTCTGCCGATGTTGAAGCTATTTCTGTTTTTTAGTTTTCCTTCTAACAGGCCCCTTTGCTGCAGGACTGCTAGAGGGCCACTCCAGACCCTGTTTGCCTGGGAATCACCCATGGGGGCTACAGAACAGCAAGGATTGCTGCTTCATTATTGTTGAGCTGGGCATGGTGAGGCTCATCTGTAAACTCAGTTACTGGGGAGGCTTAGGCAAGAGGATCATTTGACCCCCAGACTTAAATCCAGCCTGGGCCACACAGCAAGACCTAATCTCTTTTTAAAAATTAAATAAAATATTGTCAAGTGGGACACAGTGGTACACATCCCTAGTCCCAACTATGTGAGAGACACTGAGGTGGGAGAATCACTTGAGCCCAAGAGCTTGAGTCAAGCCTAAGCAACAGAGGCCCTACCTCTTCAAAAAATAAGAAAAACTCGCTAACACTCTCGCACGCGCATACTCTCTCTCTCTCTCCATACTTATATATAAAGAAAAATTACAGGAGAACATTGTTTTGGACTAAGCTCCAAACAGATCAGACTAAAAATCAAAATAAAGACAGAATCAGAAGCAGGATATGGTTCTCTTCCCTTTTGCGGACATTGCTGAAGCAAGGGTGGCCAAAATGAAGTTTAATCCCTTTGTGACTTCTGACTGAAGCAAGAACCACAAAAGGTGTTTCAAAACACCTTCCCACTTTCATAGGAAGATTATGTCTTCCCTCTTTCCAAAGAGCTGAGACAGAAGTACAAGGTTCAATCCATGCCCATCCAAAAGAATGATAAAGTTCAGGTTGTGTGAGGACACTATAAAGGTCAGCAAACTGGCAGTTTAATCAAGGTTTACAGGAAGAAATATATCATCAACACTGAACAGGTGTAGTGGGAAAAGCTAAAGGCACAACTGTCCATGTAGGCATTCACCCCAGCATGGTGGTTATCACCAAGCTAAAACTGGACAAAGACCACAAAAAGATCTTTGAACAAAAGTCAAATCTCACCCAGAAAGAAAGGAAAAGGCCAAATAAATGGAAGAAACAATTGAGAAGATGCAGGAATAAAGTAATCTTATATACAAACTTTCGCTGAAACTGCTGAAATGGAAAAAAAAAAAAAAATCAAAATGGAGTCTCTCATGCTGAGTTCATCAAACTAAAAATGAGTTATCAGACCATTCAAGATATCAGGAGAGAGATAACACACTAATTCCCCAAATAAGCCAGTTTCAATTGGCATGATAATGAGGTTTCCTGTCTTTAATTTTTTTTTTTTTTTTTTTTTGGTAAACCTCTCCTACGGTGCTGATGTCTTTAATCCTTACAACAAAAGGTAACCTGATGTTAAATAATCACTTATTTCTCTATTCTGCCCTGCTCCAGCCTTAATAGGAAGGTAACTTTGAAATGACCAATCCATTTTATTCTTTGTTTTTGCTTTATTCAGTCTCTCTCTGTCTATAAAATTAACCTCCTCTGCTCAGTTCACTGAAATACTTGTTTTATTTTATGAAATGAAGTACTGCTCAAATCTAAAATCACAAATAAAACCAATTAAGTTATTTAAACTAAATTGTTGTAATTGCTGTAATTTGTAATAAATTGGCAGTAGTAAGTTAAATGATTCCTTGAGTTCTGTGACCCATTCCAGAAAATGATCAAACTCAAGGAAGGGGTGATGAGAGCCGCCCTCCATCCCTCCCCCAATTTACAGTAAGTTAGTCAGAATAGCAGAGGCCAGGGGTCAAGCTCAAAGGCTCACAACTGTAATCCCAGCACTTTGGGAAGCTGAGGAGGGAGGACAACTCTATGCCAGGAATTTGAGGCTGCAGTGAGCTATGATCATGTCATTGCATTCCAGCCTGGGAGACAGAGCAAGAATTCTGTCTTTTAAAAATTACACACACACACACACACACACACACACACACACACACACATATTTCTTTTTTGTTTGTTTGTTTTTAATTACCAGAAGCTGGGACCTATGACTGGTATTTGAAGTGGAATAGTGGTCTGCAGGACTGAGCCCTTAATTTGTGGGACCTGACTCTAACTCCAGATAGATAGTGACAGAATTGAACTAATTACTGGACACCAAGCTGACATCAGAGAATCAGTCAGTATGAGGGGACATGGTCACAGAAGTGCTCTGTGTTGTGTGAATATAGGAAGAGAAAAAAACTGTTGTTTTTTATTATACAAGAGATAACAGGGACTCAGATATAAGTGGTAAAGGAAGATGGTGAAAGAAGGGAAGGATAACGGTTAAACTTTGAAGTGGCAATGCAGCTGAAGCTATTTTTTAATGAGGAAAAGTATGACATCTTCCGTTTCTTTTTGCCTCTCACCGTCAACTTAAAATGCTATAAGAAATCTAACACTCAAAAAAAGATCTGACTGCAGCTGTGAAAAAGGTAATCTAATGTCTTACTGAGACTGTTAGAAGACAATCTAAAATTTCGGCCAAGTTATAGGTTAAGACATTTCTGAACAAATAAAGAGTACAAAAATTTAATAAATATATTGTAAAGCTGTGAGAGATGCCTTGAAAAAGAACAAAATGCACTACCTTCATACAGTCAAATTTGAGACATTCTGCATTCTATATTCTCTATACCCTACGGAAGAAAATGAGCATATGCATTAAGAAGAGATCTGGAGTCTGACTACCTGTGTTCAAATCCTAGTTCTACCACGTACTATGAAACTTTGTACAGATTACTATAGGTTTCTGTGAGTAGGCTCTCTCACATTTAAATCAGTCATAATACCAATACCTAAACTCCATGGGTAGTTGTTATGAATTAAATACATATTCAGCAATCAGAAAAGTACCTGGCACAAAGTAAGGATGCAATAATTGTTGGCAATTTGGGTTGCTGTATCCCCACTTTAAGAAGACTCTAATAAACTTCAATGAATTCTATTGAATTAAAAACTCTAAGAAATCATACAGTTAAGAAATAAATTTAAGTGTGCTTAACTCAAGTTCTCTTAAACTTTTTTGGCAATAGATTAATAAGATCTACTCCCATTCATCCATATAAACGGTTGTTTGAGAAACACTTGGAAAATTCTGAACTGGGGGTAAGCGAGACCATCTTTTACGTGTAATAAACAGATGCCATCGAAGCTGAAGAACACTGTTACACAACTGACTAGAAATTTTAGTACAGTTCCCAAACAGTTCATATGAAACACACTCATAGTAAATGAATACTACTGAATTCTGAGGGTACAAGGTTAAAATACAAAGGTCAGTAATTAAAGGGTCAGTAACTCTGCTTAGTCGTTCATAAGTCTCCAGTTTTTCTACAAATTTTACATGTAACATGAAATCAGTGTATTTATGCTTTGATGTTAAAAGAGTATCAGCCATACCCATCGGAATACTGCTTTTGTAGACTGCAGCCAAAATACTATAGGACACTAAGAAAAAGCTTATTTGAGTCACAGGAATAGCAACCAAATGAATAATACAACTCCATTCTTGTAAACCCAAACTGACATGACATATTTTAACAAACATTCATAAGACAATTAGATATAAATATGGAAATCATTAAATACCAAAACATATACTGCTTTGAGAAATTAAAATATATAAAATTTAGATTTAAAAGATTAAGAGACAAACTTATAAAATCAATATTTGCTTTAAGAAGAAGAATGATTTTACAAGCACTTTTTATAGTATTTCTTGGTAAGCAATTATGATTTCTGTACCTATGTTCTTTGTGTTCCAATAGCTGACAGTCTCTACATGTCAGCCTATCACATGTTTCACAGAAAAGTTTCAACTGTTCTTGTTTGTGTACAGGGCAGAAAACAGGGCGTTGACCAGATGCTCCAACAGACTCTGTAGCAAAATAAAACAAATATTTTTTAACTAAACATGAAATTTTTGTTTAGTTTTCTAAATTCCTATTGATGTTGACATCCAAAGCTTATAAAGAGTAAGCAGAAAATGTTACAGGGGCAAAAAAACTGTAATTATTACAACTGCGTCTATCTTACCTGAGACATCTTCTTTCTTCCTGATCAAGTGATCTTTAGTAAATTTTACTCTTTGATGTGCTTCAATACATGTCTTACACAGCCACTCTCCACATTCTACACAAAAGCCAACTGCACTTGCATTGTCTTCACAACTAGTACATACCTAAAAGAAGAAATAAGTACTAATCTAAATTAAATATATAAAATGTAAAATAAAAAGAAAAAACTTGTTCTTAAATATACTGTCTATTTCACTGTATAAAGAATAAAATAACTGTATTATCCATTTATCGAAAACAAAATCCTTTTCCTTACAGATCATTCATGTAGGTAAAAATCTAAGGCTCAGAACACAAAGTCTATGCAGATTTGACTTTTTAAAATTTATTTATTTATTTTTTGAGGCAGGCTCTGGCTCTGTCACCCAGGCTGGAACGGCAGTAGTTCAACCATGGCTCACTGCAGCCTCAACTTCCTGGGCTCAAGCAATCCTCCCACCTCAGCCTCCCGAGTAGCTGGGATTAAAGGCGCACACCACCACGCCCGGCTAATTTTTTTATTTTTTGTAGAGATGGGGTCTTGCTACGTTGCCCAGGCTGGTCTCCAACTCCAGGGCTCAAGTAATCCTCACACCTTAGCCTCCCAAAGTGCTGTGATAACAGGCGTGAGCTACCATGCCTGGCCCAGATTTGACATATTAAGTAATGACTTTAGTCTCGTTTAACTAAGATTGAGAATGTGTAAGAAAGTTATCTTTAACTTTCTATTTGAAACAGGAATCCATACCAGAACCACCCTAAATTACCTAACTACCCAAACATGCTTTTCTTATAATTTATACTTTGATATCAAGATAGGAATATAAAGAAAAACTGGGAAGCATACCTGTTCTGATTTTTCATCAGAACTGCTAGGAGCTTCAGATGTGTCTTTCACAAAATAATTATCCACAAGGTCTATCTGTCTGCATTCTTGGCGGCATACTGGGCACCGTATTACACCAACTACAACATAAAACAACAACATTTTAAAATATTCTTCAGGAACAAACAAAGAAATTGTGCATGATGTCCATATGAAAACATTCATTCATCACAGAAAAGACCAAAGAAATGAGCATCAAGAGCTCAGTAAAATAACCCAGTGGGTTAGTTCTTTGGGGTAAAAGTGATACGCAATTTAGGAAAAGAAAACAAGTATTATGATGCCTCCCAAAAAGTGCTTCCTTATTACAATATGTGGTTAGTTGTATAATTGCCCCAAAAGAAATCCAGATCCTAATCTTTGGAAACTATGAATATTACTTTACATGGCAAAAGGGACTTTACAGATGAGATTAAGGCTTTTGAGAGGGTTTGCCCAGCGGGTCCTAAAGGTGATCAAGTGACCTTACAGAGGGAGGAAGAGGAAGATAAGACTATAGAAGACTGGAAGGCAATTATAATAATAATGGACACAGGGACTGGAGTGATGTGCTTTGAAGATGAAGGAAGAAGCCAGTGGCCAAAACCACAAAAAGCTTAAAGAGACAAGGAAATGGATTCTCTCCCAGAGCCACCAGAAGGAACCAGTTCTGCCAACACTTTTGACTTTAGCCCAGTGAAAGGGATTTCAAACTGCTAGCCTCCATAATGGTAAAACAGTAAGACACATGCTGTTTTTCCTTTTTCTTCCCTCCCCCAAAATTGGATGTCATTTTTCCTTTTTTTTTTTTTTTTGACACATGCTGTTTTAAGACACCAAGTTTGTGATAATTTTGTTACAGCAGCAACAGAAAACTAATATACGATCTATCATCTTACAAATTCTGACTTGGTTATAGACATTTGAATTTATGCTAATATGAGAGATCATCTGTGCCTTCACGTGCTAGTGTTCTAGAATCAATCAGAATGGATAAACTGTTGACGTAACACACAGAGGCTTAAGAACTAAAAATGGCACCAGAGTCAACAAAATAAATTGACTAATATGTGTCAGCCATGAAATTGAGGATACAGCATAAATGACACAATCCATGCCTTCATGAAGGGTTCTAGATTAGTATAGAATTTTTATAATGTACACAACTACAGAAAGCACCAAAGGCTGGGATATAAACTGAGTCCCCACGTAGCACACAAACTCTAGCACCATATATAGTCATTCTGATGGAAAATGAAAACAAATAAAGCATGTCATTTTAAAAGAAGGGTGAGGTGGCTCATGCGTGTAATCTCAAAACTTTGGGAGTGGGACAACCAATTGAGCCCAGGAGTTTGCGGCCAGCCTGGACAACATAGTGAGACTCCATCTCTAATTTTAAAATAAAATAAAGTTTTAAAATAACTAGTGTTATATACTTAAAATATTGTTCTTATCATAGGTTTTCTCTTTATTTTACCAAAAACATTGTATAAAAATAAATAAAAATATCTTGGTCAAAGAAAACACACAAAAACAATTTTGCAAACCAAAGGAAGAAATAGTGAAAAGAAAATATTTTCACATTTAGGAAAGCATCAATTAAAAACCTCTTGAAAAAGTATATAATATAAAACTACAAAGAAGTAAGTTTAAATAACTGTAGGGACAAAGATATGGGAGCAACTAACTCTTCTTAGAGTGAATCAGTTAAGTTTTCACCAAAAAGATAACACATTTAATAGGGCCTTGAAGAATGAACATGAATATACTAGTGTGCAAGAAAGGGTTTACCTGGCAGGCCTGAGTTGCTCAAATGCTACACATTCCTAAGAAAGGCCTGTCTTCAGAACTGGCCCTTTACAAGCTCCTGGGAGATGACCTCTGAGCACATGAAAAATTCTGCCTGATAAGAATATTTTGTAGACCTGGGGCTTTAGGCCATACTATGTTCAGTTTGACTTCTGGGTGCACTGGAGTCCAGGTAGCTGATTATCAGTCCTGTGGGGGCTACAAGGCAGTAAGACTGATCTCCAAAACCTAGACACCAAGGCTCAGGTGAGATTCCCTGCTTGGCAATACTCCCGGTGTACTGTCCCATATTGTTGCTGGGGACATCTGGAAGCATGGGTCCACTTTCTCTTGGACTCTGCACCATGTACCTTTTCTCTTTGCTGATTTTAATCTGTACCTTTCAACTATAATGTCTTCAACTATAATAAAATGCAACCACATTATAACAAATTTTCTCAGTCCTATGGGTCCTTCTGGTTAATCACTGTTCCTGAGGCTAATCTTGGGGACCCCCAACTCAACTAAGAAATAAGGAAACTGATAACAGCAAGTACAAAGTTTACCAATTAAAAGAAAAAAGAATAGGAGGCTACAAAAGATAGCAGAAAATATATTTAGCTTTCCTTCTATCTATATGTATATAATTACATCTACGTAAAATACTGAGAAAATTAATGAGAAATTTGCAACATCTAAATGAAGGTGTATTTTTGTTGAAGGACACCAAAGATGGAGACATTCTGTGTTCTAAGCAAGAAAGACTCAGTATTCTAAAAGTGTCTGTTCTGTGTAAACGAATGATTCCTTACAGTTCCATTAGATGCTACACTTTCTGAAGCGCAACAAGTTAATTCTCAGGTTCTTATAAATTTCTACCTCAATCTAGCAGGCTGACAACACAGCTTATGGCAACAAAAATTCATGTCTTTCTTAATCTAAATCCCCACTGAAATTATATTAAAGAATTTAGAGGATTAACACAACATCCAAAAAATGAGGGTGGAGGACAAAGCAAGGCACATAAATCACAAGCTACTTTAGCAAATTTAGATGAAAAAGAATAACTCAACAGTGCAGTAGAAACCCAGTCCATAGTAACACAGGAAGGACAGGATACACCTGAGTAAGACTTACTTGCTGAAAAAAATTTCAGAGAAGTCTGAAGTTACAATCAGGGAACAAATTAGAAATTCTAGATGATTCCCAAGTTCCTACATAACTACTCAAAATGGGGAAAAGTATTCTAGCCAGAATAGATAGTGTTTAACTAGCATAGTTCTGGAGCTGAAGGGTGTGGATGGAGTCACCAGCATGTAAATATCTCAAATGTCAAGTGCAGTTATGACTGCTAAGGAAGAATGTTGTCAAGGACAGTAATGCTTGTTATACCAAATTTACAAGTCAAACAAGAAAAAGAGCTCTCAAATTTAGGAGACAGCTTTCAAACATTTTCAACTGCAAACCACAAGAAGTACATTTTACATCAAAGGTCAGGACACAAATATATACCTGTCTAACTGAACAAACACGAGTAAAACAGGGGTCAACTACTTTTCCATTAACCGTTTATGATTAACTTGCTACCACTGTAACAATTTACTTTTAAAATTACATAATATGCTTAAAGTCAGCTGACTCTTAGCATGACCTAACAGTCTTTTCATTCAGCCCCAGCTTCTCTTTCCAATACTCTCAAGCAGTCGCTCCAAAGCTTCAGTCATCAACACTACTCTCCTTTCCCTTAGAAAATAATTATGAATGAAAAATTACAGATATGTTTTCAGGTACAGATGGCAGTTGAGAGAATTTATACCTATATCCTCTAATTACTTAAGTCAGAGCCCAGTCAAAATGATGAGTCCTGTAAGCTAAGTGTTGAAAGACTGGAATGAATTACCCAAGGAATGGGAGAAAGAAGCTGGAGGGAATAAGATTGTCCAGTGGTGCCAAAAGCCTCATACTAAAGAAGTATAACCATGCCTAAGCTTAATTCCTCTCTCCACCATGTACCTATCCCCTACTCATCTCTATTCCCACCCTATGTGCACACATTAATAAGGACCTCGAGAGTGCAGTGGTGGGAGAGGTAACAGACGGCAGGAGTCGCACTGCTGGGGCTTAGGACTGATTTGTCTGACTTCCTGTCTCTGCCTAGCCCATTCCAGCTGCAGCCATGTCTGGGGAAAAGATGATTTTTGATCCTACTATGAGCAAGAAGAAAAATAAGCAGCAGCAGTCCTTTAGTTAGATGAGGAAGGGGATATGCAAACAGAGGAGACCCAGCCCTCAGAAATGAAACTGGGAACAAAGAATTGGAAGGTGATGAAGACAACAGTAAGGAAAAAGATGCTTCTGATGATCTAGATGACTTGAACTTCTTTAATCAAAAGAAAAAATAGAAAAACAAAGATATTTGATACTGATGAAGGTATAAAGGGTCTTAAGATTGAAAGTGATATTCAAGAACCAGCTGAACTGGAGTATGATCTTAATATTAGGCTTGGCAATAAAAAGAAGAAAAATAAGAAGGTTGACTTCCCAGATGAGTATGAAATACTACAGCAACACAAAGCTCTAGAAGATGAAGGCAGCAAAAAAGATGACGGTATCTCATTCAGTAACCATACAGTCCCTGCTAGGGTGGGCTCAGAAAGAGACTACACAGGAGGAGCTACTGAAGCGAGTGTTCAACACCATGAGGGAAAAGAATCCAGACATGTTTGCAGAAGAGAAAAGGAAATTTGTCATCAAACCTCCACAGGTCATTCGAGTAGGAACTAAGAAAACTTACTTTGTCAACTTTACAGATATCTGTAAACTATTACATCATCAGCCCAAACATCTCCTTGCATTTTTGTTGGCTGAATTGGGTACAAGTGGTTCTATAGATGGTAATAACCAACTTGTAATCAAAGAAGATTCCAACAGAAACAGAAAAAGTCTTCAGTACATATATGAAGGAACACTTTACTTGTCACACATGTTGATCACCAGACACAAGCCTGAAGAAGGACACTCGACTTCTTACAGTGACAAACTTATTCTTGATATTCTGTTGCAAGTACAAAACAAGTTTCCAGGCTGTCACAGGCAAGCGAGCACAGTTCTGTGCCAAAGCTAACTAATTTGCTCATCGCTGACTTTACAAAGTGTGTTGTGGAGATTTGGCAGGACAGGTTTGTCATCAGAATGGATATACTATTTTAATAAAAAAGAAGATTAAAAAGCTGCCAAGTTCTTTGATGACTGGCCAGTTGGTCTGAAATCCTTGCAAGATGCCACTGTTCAAACTGTTGACATAATCATT